AATCTGTTAATGTTGTTCTTACTACCCTGCTAGCATATTCATATATATCCCTGTACATATGCACATTACTCTGCACTTTACTGCTTTTTGCACTTCTGGTTAGATGCTTAACTGCATTTCGTTGTCTTAGTACTTGTACTCTGTGCAATGACAAAAAATTGAATCTAATGTAATCTAATTTAATCTAAAAACGACTTTAAATTATGTTGAGTTAAAACTTTACTTTATCTATTACTAAAATTCTGCTACATGTACAGTGCAGTAATAAAGTGTTACAGTATTATGACATGGACGGGAGACATTCTGCTGCATTACGAGTACTATGAATACATTTTGTTCATTATACACCTGTGTTTTTATTTTGGAAGGATTTTAAATATCAGATTATTTGCAATTAGTATTTCTACTCTAAACTTTTTACTTTTACTGCAGTAAATAAAGAGGAGAAATGTCAATTCTTAAACTGTGAAAAGAGGAAAACCAAACTGACTTTGGAAAACAAACTGCCTACCTCAGTTTGACCAGAAGATGGAGCTAAAATACTGAATCAGAGGTTAGTTCTTCTGCTCAGTGCCTGCTCTTTTCATACACTGTCTATGACAATAACCTATAATAAAGTGAATAATATAGTTTAATGAGAATTGAAAGTATGAGAAACTCATTGTATGTATAAAGTATACATGTTTAGCCTATTGCACTGCCTGACACTTGGATAATTGTGATAATAAAGCACCGCAAAACATACAGTTTAATATAATCTCACAAAGGTTTCAATAAATAGAAAATATGTTAATTTGGTTCATTATAATTTCACTTACAAATGAGAGATAACGAATTTGCATTTAAGTAAATTGAAAAACCTTCACATTTCACCAAGACAGCCAGAGGAAGACCGGAAGAAGGAGGATTTTAGCTTCAAAATAATAGCACAATAAATAATAGTATATTATATATAAATTACATAATAGTCGCTTTCTTAAGGACACTTTGGCCCCTGGCTGTGTGGTTAGAGTTTGGTTATTATGGCCACCTCAACTACTATAAATAAGTTAGAATATAGTTTGAATTTTATTTTTTAAACATAGTAGGCAATGGGCATACCTCTAATCTACCATGTAGTGGATGAATATGTTTTATTCATCTATATGGATACATTTACAGATAACTTTACAGTACTTTGCAGGCTTTTATTATGAAAGATCCTCCAGGAAACCGGTTTTAAGAGACGCACAGGTGTTGTCAGTGTGCCTCACTTCACCGGTGGAGCAGAGGAGCTCGGCACTGCGCAGAGCATGTAGTCGGAACTACTTCACATTGTGGCACTGAAGTTTTTATCTGTTTTGAATCAGAAGTAATTTTGTTCTTCGGGGGGAAACATTTACAACATTTACAACATTTAAAAGCTGCTCTTCGACTCTCAACTAGTTTGGAGCTAAATGAGAAGTAGGCAGCGAAACAGGAGCACTCAGTGATACTCGGGGCGCGATGGAGAGCAAGGGATTACTTCGCTGTAAGATTGTGGTGGTCGGCGATGCGCAGTGTGGCAAGACGGCTCTCCTTCACGTTTTTGCCAAAGACTCGTACCCAGAGGTAAGATGCTGTATTTCATAAAGATGGACACATGAGTGATTACTGCAGCACTGGTGCGTAAAGTCCCTGAAACCATGCGGAACGACAAAGTCTCCATCCTGCCTGACTTCTCAAGGAGAACTTGAAAACCTTTTTATGCTGTCTCAGTTATGGGGACTGACTGATGACACACAAGATGTTATTTATTTATTTTAATGCGGTTTTGCTTTTTTCTTATTGGCCTACTGTAAATTAGACCGGGACGCTGCCTTAAGGTTCTTTAGACAGGTTATGTCTATCTTTTTTGGTCTAATATAATGTAAAAACTACATTAATTGAACATAATGTCAGGATTTGATCAGACTCAGCGCTCATTCAGTTCCCATTTGCCACAGAAATTTGGGCTCCGTGCGCTTTTGCGCATAGCGCGCGTCAGCGGCTGTAAGCGCCGCTCGCTGTAGGAGCAATCTGGTCTGTAAATACTGAAACATAACTGGTTTGACCACAGCAACAACCAGTGAGCCGAACTGCCTCTGAGCAACACACTGAATCACCACCTCTCTTTCTAGATGTTGTGTTGTGAGACATTAAGAGTTTAAATGTGCAGTTATGATGTTTCCATATAAAAACTCTGAATGATATTAATCAAGAAAAAGAAGAAAAAAGAAAGAATACTGATTAATCTGCTGGATTTAAAATAGCATCAATCTGAAGTTATCAGATGCAATAACAGACAGACCTTAAATATTTTGCAACTCCTCTTTAATGAGCAGTGGACATTTTGGACAACACCAGTGGAGATTTTGAATGGATAAATACAAGGACATCTCATTTTCATCAGTTGTTGTTATTCAAGTTATGGTTTTGCCCATGCTTACAGTATGTTGATGACATTTTCAATGCATTAACAACAACAGAAAATGTAATTAATTGGCAGATATTGTATTGAAAAGACCAAAAACACCTGACATGTTACCCAAAAGAAGAAACACAGATGTGATGGACTGAAATATCCTTTTTACTTCAATTTCAATCGAAACTCTTGAACTGTTGAGAATAATGAAATCAAAGCTTGTTGACCTAAATTTCTGAATTTGGAAATAGGTCAAAGCTCAGAATTGGCCTCATCTACTTTCCATACACGCTATCTCATGCCTCTGATGTTCAAGAGTGCACTATCATCTGCGCTACAGCTGCTTGAAATAACTGAGATTTCTCTTGTACCTTACATTATCTTGATTTAAATCAAATCTTACAATGTACACAACACCCCTCTGAGCTTTCATCTAATCTTTGCCGCACATGTCTCATTTCAGAATTATGTTCCCACG